GAGAGAGAGAGTGTGTGAGTGTGTGTGTGTGTGTGTGTTGGACACACCTGTGCTGCAGGTAAGAAGAGCTTAAGTGCGTCAGACCGCAGAGCTCCGTCTGATCTCCTCCCGTCTCTCTCTCACAGCTTAAAATGCTCCAGCGTGTGACTCCTGACATGTAAATGGCGTCGAAGGTGCGTGATGCTGTGCTCTGGTACCAGAAGAAGGTGAGCGATCGGAGAGCTTTTGATGTTTCCTCACATTGACTTCATGTGTCTGAGCTTCTGTTTGTCTGTGTGTGACACTGATGATGATGATGACGACGTTCTGGACTGATAGAGGATGGAGTTCTGATGTCTCTGACAAACTGAAGCTGAAGGGTTTATTAGAGTTGGGTTCACTGAAGTTATGGACGAATCCTGTGACTGTTTCCTGAATCGACGACATCACAACAAAACAGATGATGCTTAGTCAGAGCAACACTCGCAGGTTGTTCTCCTGCAGGTTTGTGCGCTCGCTGTAGGTTTAATGAGACTGAACTCGTGAATTATTGAGTGTTTTCCACCGTGTGACTTCAGTCCAGCGTCGCCGTCTTCACCTCCAGCGTGCACACGACACCGAGTCGCGGTACTTATTGCCCCCGGCAACAATCAGACCAATCAGAGCTGCGCATCGCATCCATTCACGCTCGTGTTTCCACAGATCTCCAGAAACTCGATCCGCAAGACCTCCATCCTGCTCCGGCGCTCCAACCCAGAAAACATTCATTACCGCCGCCTCTTTAAACGTGTCCCATCACATAATGAACACGCATAACGAGCTCTGGGTGTGTTTGGACTGACAGGTGACAGATCAGTGCGATTCTCCAGTCTCAGGAGATTGAGTGACGCTCAATGAGAGAGTCTGTTTAAACACAGGCGACTGACTGTTTGGATGATTTCTGACTGATTTGGATGTATAACCTACCTGTCTGTGTCTGTGTCTCGTCTGTCAGATCGGTGCGTATGACCAGCAGATATGGGAGAAATCAGTGGAACAGCGAGAGATCAAGGTAACGTGTCAGCGACTCTTGATTAGACTTTCACCTGTTCATTCTGCCTCTGCAAGAGCGTGTGTGTGTGTCTGTTAATGTGTGTGTTATTCGCTCATTCTTCCTTTAAACGTGTCTCTGTCTCCCTTCACTTGAAGCAGTTTATCAGACGGGTGAGTACGGCGCCGCTCTCAGCCTGTAGGTGGCGCTGCGTGTGGTTTTTTTTTAACACGACTGGACGCCTGTATTTGTGTGAGAGCATGTTCAGACTCCGACAAGATCACATCAGTAACACCAGGGTTTACTGTAATCTACTGAGATTCAGCTGAACGTCTGAAACTCCTCACACACGCGTCTGATGATGATGATGATGTAATAGAGGCTAATAGAGTCAGGATCGGCTCTCATTGGCCGGAATATGGCAGCAGCTCGAGAGTGAATCTGCATTGAGTTTGTTTGTGTTGCTTTGACTGGTTGCGCTGTGACTCATGTTTGGCTGAATGTCTTGCGTAACGAGGGCTAGACAGACGAAAATAAAGACAACAGAAAGTCTGAGTCAAGCTTCATTCTGCCCAGATACTCTGAATGAGCTGCAGCGAGGAATAAAGCTCTCTGATTCGGCACAAATCCTGATCAGTCGATCCGTTTTACAGTCATTTTACCAGCGGCCTGAATCCACAAAAACTGCGGCTAAATCCTGTAACTAGAAGTGTTAAAGTCATCTGTAATATTCTGAGTAAAAACAATAACAGAGGATGTGTGTCACAGGTTGTGCATTTATCGATGGTTTGAATGCAGCTCATCCAATCAGCATAGAATCTGAACGATTCATTTCATAATATTTTTCTCTCATGTCAGGACTGACTGTAGAGTTATTATTTCTCAGAGTCTGACAGGGAAAATATTATTGCTGAAATGCCATCAGCGGCGTATGTGAGCGTGCGGTTCGTATTCAACTTGTTTCTAAATCATGATTTGTTGACTGCGCTGCTTTTAATTATTTGAGGAAATTGAAAAGATTTTTAATAATGTCAGGCCTGAATCGTTTTAAAGTAATATTTTATAGGTAATATTTTTGGTGTTTCTGCCTTTAATTTGATAGAATAGTTAAAGATTGGAATTAAGAGAAGAGAGTTGGGTCACTTGAAGCGTCGTCCGCCAACAACACGGCTTTAACCTGTGCTTTACCATGAAAACAGCCGCAGGAAGTTAGCAGGGATGGACAGGAAACACGTCTGTGTGTTTGTGTTGTTTGCAGCTGGTTCTGATCTTGAGATCACTGCTGTCTGTGTGAATATCTGCTGGTTATTAGCAGAAGACGGGCCACGTTACACGGCTCTCTGGTTACACGAGCACCAGTGCAACAGGACACTAATGAGGGCATGAAACGCAGCACTGCACCCTTAATAGACAGCATCACAAACACCATGAGAGGTGTAAGCTTGTGTTTGTGTGTGAACTGATGTTTGGAGGTCTTCATATGAATAAACTCGAGTTGTAAATCCCTAATCATCTGTCGTGAGTGTGACTGAAAGAGCAGCTTCAGATCCTGCCGAAAGTCTTTATTGCACTATGGTCATGAACTCACTAATTTATCTTGTTAATCTTTTTTAATTAAACTGATATGATGAGAAGTGTGTGTGCTGAGATGCATGGTTTCCCCCATCAGTATGAATGAATGATCTGCTGTGGCAGAAGACACTAGCTGCGTTTCCATTACCCTTCAAATTGTGCCATTTGAAATTGTGAATAGAAAAATACGCCTAATGGAAACACGTCAATTTCACAAAACCTCCCATATGTCGCAAAAAAGTTTTTAAGCTCGCATGATGTGGTTTTTCAGGAAATTCGAAAAAGGAATATATCGCAAAACTGCAATGGAAACGGGTCACGTCATTCTTTAATGTACTATAACCTCCAAGAAACACTTCATACAAGGCCGCTCTCAAGTATAAAGGGCTTTTCTTGCCATTAATGCTTGGATAAGCCCTTATCTACACTGTACATGTGCATTACGGCCACTCTATTCAATGCTTGTTTTTATACCAGCTGCGCCACACCACGTTTCAGAAGCGTCTCATAAGCGGCTGTCTCCTTTGATTAAAAATAATGGCTAGTGCGGTGGCTGCAATTTACGTGAATCTACCAACATCCGTTGCCATGACTTGTGGCGAGAGGAAAAAATGACGTTTTAGTCACATAACATCGGTAAATGGAAACGCCATCATTTCGCAGTAGTTTTTGATTTACATTTATAAAATATCGCAAAAGTTTTGTGCAAGTCTGTAATGGAAATGCACCTGTCAGTCATCCTGTCTGTCTGTCTGTCTGATGAGCGTCTGTCTGTCTGTTGAGCGTCTGTCTGTCTGTCTGATGAGCGTCTGTCTGTCTGTCTGATGAGCGTCTGTCTGTCTGTTGAGCGTCTGTCTGTCTGATGAGTGTCTGTCTGTCTGATGAGTGTCTGTCTGTCTGTCTGATGAGTGTCTGTCTGTCTGTCTGATGAGCGTCTGTCTGTCTGATGAGTGTCTGTCTGTCTGATGAGTGTCTCTGTCTGATGAGCGTCTGTCTGTCGAGCGAGCGTCTTTCTGTCTGTCTGATGAGTGTCTGTCTGTCGGATGAGCGTCTGTCTGTCTGTCTGATGAGTTTCTGTCTGTCTGATGAGCGTCTGTCTGTCTGTCTGATGAGTTTCTGTCTGTCTGATGAGTGTCTGTCTGTCTGCAGGGTCTGCGGAACAAACCGAAGAAGACCGGTCACGTGAAGCCGGACCTGATTGATGTGGATCTGGTCAGAGGTATACCTGTATTTGATGTTTTTGGTGTCTGTTCACGTCACGTTCAGGTCTGTTTCACAGGTCAGTCGCGGCTCGTAACTCGTCTTCTGTTTTATTCGTCAGGCTCTGCGTTTGCTAAAGCGAAGCCCGAGAGCCCGTGGACCTCTCTGACCCGGAAGGGCATCGTCAGAGTGGTTTTCTTCCCATTTTTCTTCCGCTGGTGGATTCAGGTGACGTCGAGAGCCGTCTTCTACCTGCTGCTGTCTCTCTACCTGCTGCAGGGTGAGCGTTTATTCACACACAATCGCTTGTTTTTCAGCAGACAAATGTCAGACAGAATTATTGTTATATACTGTCTGTCCTTACTGTGATTGGAGTATGGTTTTGGTCCGGTGTGTTTGTGATGCCCTGATAGTGATTCACATCTACACGTCCAACCGCGAGTCGCTCCTTCAGTTTGACTGAATGACGCGTATGATTGCTTTTAGGTTGTTCATTGAGGTCACTGTAGTTGTTTTTCTTGTCAGAGACGTGTGCAAATAGATCTGGGTGGAGTTCAGATGCTTTTGTTTTTACAGGTTACTAAAAAGAACAGTGAGTGTGTGTAATAATTGTGTAACAAATCTCTCCTTAAAATAATCCATGTTCGTCATGGCTGAAAGTGAAGCTTTAATTTGAAGTTTAATTTAACTTACAGAGTTTGATTGAACATGCAGTCTTTGGCTTCTTCAATCATTTTCTCCTGCCTTTTAACAGCTGAGTTTATTTTACTGTCCTAACGATGGACATTTCTAGGATTAGCTGCACTGGATTATGTGTGTTTTTTCCTGTCACTCATGAGTGGAGAAGTGATCCTCATGTCATCGGTGTGTGTTTTGTGTTGCAGTGCTGGCGGCCGTGTTGTTTTTCAGCATCTCCAGTCCTCACAGCGTCCCCGTCACCGAGGTGTTTGGAGCCATCTGGCTGATGCTGCTGTTAGGAACCGTTCACTGCCAGATCGTCTCCACACACACTCCTAAAGCCAGCGGCGGCGGCAGCGGGAAACGCCGCAGGTCAGACTCTGCTCTTCTGTGTGACTGGTTTCTTCTGAAGTTCAGCCGTCTCACTGACAGCGACACACTACAGATGAAATCGGGGGAAGCGTCAGCACGTCGAGATGATTCTGCTGAATTCATGAAAAGCTTTCTCTTGATTTATGGATCCAAATCAAATTCACACTTGTGACAGACACTAATGTCTTCATTATTAGGCGATTGTCAGCATCATAAAAAGAAATGTCATTACAAGCACAAATGATCAGTCATATTCCAGAAGCATGAATAGAAATGCATTTTCTAAAGGATCTAAAATCCAAAGGATTTTGATTAACAAGCTCCAATGTAAATGAATCATTTTAGAGTTCGGTTGAATCATCTCCGCTGAGTCTGCGTCTCTTTCAGGCCTTTCGCTTCTCTTGACTTTGGGAATCAAAGTTCGCTCTGTTTTAAGATTTCTAAGTTTTCTGCACTTTGCTGTCTCTCGCTAAAGGAAGTTGAGGAAAGCGGCTCATTTGGACATTCATAGAGAAGGCGACGGCTCTAGCACTACTGATAACACACAGGAGGGGGCGCCGCAGGGCTCGCTGTCTGCCGGCTCACGCAGCCTCGTGGCTTTCTTCAAAGATTTCTGGCATGGTATCTTTAAAGAGGGGTGTGTATTTCTCTTTCTCTCATCTCCTCTTACAATCTTCTTGGCTACAACATCTCTTTTCCTGAAATCACGTCATCGCGCTGCAGTGCAGTTTTAAGTCTCTCTTTGAGGTTCCTCACTAGATAAAGGGATTTTGTAGCCATTTTATTCCATTTGCTCCGTTTCAATTGTTTTTCCCCCAGAAGCACAGTTGTGACTGTCTCCAGAAACCGGTTCTCTTTCTACTGATTCACAAGCTCCCATCAGCGTTTGCTGTAGAGGACTAGAGCTGCGCTTCCACACATCGCTTGATCAAACGCACAGCCTTTAGTAGAACCTGCTCTTTTCCTTGCTGTCCCATCAGGTCTAAAAAGTCCAAGCTGTCCATCGATAAGTCTACAGAGACGGACAATGGATACGTGTCTCTGGACGGACGCATCACCAGCAAAAGCAGCGAGGAGGGTTTACAGCTGCATGAGCCTCACTGCGACCTGCTGCGCTCCGAGACGCACTGGAGCCTCCAGCACAACAGACTGATCCTGCCGCCCACGGGCAAGGTACACACACTCACACACACACACTCTCTCACACACACACACGCACTCTCACACACGCACGCACTCTCACACACACTCTCACGTTATTTTTGTTTTCTTCGTGTACAAAAAGTATTCTCGTCGCTTCATGAAATTCAGATTGAACCACTGATGGCAGATGGACTACTTTGACGATGTCTTTCATACTTTTCTGGGCCTTGACAGTGTAAGTTACTTGGCAGTCAATGGGACAGTCACAAGCCTCCCGGTTTTCATCCAAAATATCTTAAATTGTGTTCCGAAGACGAACAAGCTTTTACGGGTTTGGAACGACATGGGGGCATCACCAGCAAAAGCAGCGAGGAGGGTTTACAGCTGCATGAGCCTCACTGCGACCTGCTGCGCTCCGAGACGCACTGGAGCCTCCAGCACAACAGACTGATCCTGCCGCCCACGGGCAAGGTACACACACTCACACACACACACTCTCTCACACACACACACGCACTCTCACACACGCACGCACTCTCACCGGTTTTCATCCAAAATATCTTAAATTGTGTTCCGAAGACGAACAAGCTTTTACGGGTTTGGAACGACATGGGGGTAAGTGATTAATGACAAAATTTTCATTTTGGGGTGGAGTAACCCTTTAATAACCCTTTCTAAATCTTTCATTGACAAAATAGGTTTTAATTGAGCAAGAGACCTAATCTGGGAAATACAACTCTTAACCACAGCATTAACCTGCTTGTCGAATTTCAAATCTGGATCGAACACAACTCCTAAATTCCTTATTTGGTCATGACAGTAGGCTGACCAAGGACCTAAATAAGTGGCTATGTCTGGGCATCCTCTAGTGGGGCCAAAAATCATAATATCCGTTTTAATTTGGTTTAACTGAACCAAATTGTGAGCCATCCAGCTCTTCACCTCTTCCAGACATGCCAAAAGGAAATTTGAACCACAATTCTCTCCATGTTTCAAAGGGAGATAAAGTTGTGTATCATCGGCATACAAATGGTAAGACATACCGTATTTATTAAAAATCGAGCCTAGAGGCAGCATGTACAAGGAAAACAGTACAGGGCCAATAACAGAACCCTGAGGAACCCCACAGGTAATAGAGGCTGTAGATGAAACAGTCACCATACTTCACAGAGAATACTTTGTTCGCAAGAGAAGACTTGAACCACTTTAAAACCGTCCCACGGATCCCAACTAAAAGTGATAAATGCTTTAGGAGAATCCCATGATCTATTGTATCAAAGGCAGCACTCAAGTCCAATAGAATCAGAGCTGCAGAATACACACTCACACACACACAGACACGTGTAGGCGTGACTGACATGTGTTTTGTGCGTGTCAGTGTCTGTCTGAGGCTGCGGTTCCTCGTGGGGTGGAGAACATGTCGGGTGAAGCGTCCAGTGAAGAAGACCCAGAGAACTACAGCGCCCTCCGCAGAGGAGTGGAGCGCAAGAACAGCGACTGCACGCTGCGCAACAGAAAAGCACACCACTACAAGAAGCATTACACTGCTGAGGTAGAACACACACACACACACACAATCAGTACTTCTGTAGGAGCACAAACACAGGCTGCTTCATGTGTGGTTTGGTCTCAGCAGGAGACGCTGAAGTCGGGCACCAGCTGCAGCTCGCGGTGCTCCAGCTCGCGGACGCAGGACTCTGAGAGCGCGCGGCACGAGTCTGAGACGGAGGATGTTCTGTGGGAGGACTTCCTGCACTGCGCCGAGTGCCGCTCCTCCTGCAGCAGCGAAACAGACGCCGACGGATCCGCAGCCTGTTCTGCGTCTAAGAAAGAGTTCAGAGACGACCCGTTTCATCAGGTGCGTCGCAGATCCACAGCTGCTGCCTCATTGGTTCAGATTTGTGGAGCTGGGGCCAGTTGTTCAATAGTGATCTGATCGGATTTTGTCCATTGGATTGTATCAAATCTTGAAAATGGGTTGTTTAAGAGGAAAAAAAAATTCTGATTCAGATTAGATCACAAAATCCAATCTTTGTTTTGATCTGGATTAAATCCTCAATTTGTGTTGTTCAAAGCGTTTTAGTAAGATTGGGATACTTTTGATCCAAAAAAAAACCGGGGTTATTCTGATCCCAGCAGAAGGGTGGATTTCAGGAACAAAAATGTAATAAAACTGATCCAAAAAGTACAACATTTGTAAAGTGTAATATCCCTTAAATCCCCAAATAGCTGTCAATATCAAACTAAAATATTCCATTAAAAGTTTTTTTTTTTATCACTGATTGTAAACTACATTGGCACAACCATCAGAGATGGACCAGTCAGAAGTAGTTAGTGGTTTCCCCCCCCCCATCTCTTTTTTTTCCCATCAGCTTGTCCCTTTAGGGGCTCCGTAGAGCACTAGTAATCCAGATTTGGAAATCTGAAAAAGTGTGTATCTGGATCAGGGTGATCCAATCCAATTTTGCTTTGAAAAACCGGCACTAAAGTAAGATGGGTTACCTGATCCTGGATAGCAAAACATGAGATTTCCAAATCCAGATCATTCTGACCCAGATTAAACTTTTTGAACAACTGGCCCCTGGTGTTTTGTTGCAGTAAGCGTGTAAATGATGTGTGTGTGTGTGTGTGTGTGTGTTGCTCTGCTGCTGGTGAAGGGTCACGTGCCGTGGCTCCACAGCTCTAATCCGGGCCTGGAGCGCGTCAGCGCCATCGTGTGGGAAGGAAACGAATGCAAGAAAGCAGACATGTCTGTGCTGGAAATCAGCGGCATGATAATGAACAGGGTGAGTGTGAAGCAGAGGAAGGAAGGCAGTGAACTGATAGAAATGCATTGAACGTCTCTGGATAGAAGCGTGTGCTAAATCATGATTACCTGAAGCCCTGATCTCGTCCTCCTCTCGCCCGCAGGTCAATCTCTACACTCCAGGCATCGGCTATCAGATCTTGGGGAATCTGGTGTCTGTGACGCTGGGTTTGACTCCGTTTGCGCTCTCACACACACACACACACACTCTCTCACACACACTCACACGCTCTCACACACACACACACACACACTCTCTCTCACACAAACTCACACACGACTGACGCTGTGATCGTATCGGAGCGCTGACGTGTCTCTGTCCCGCAGGAGTTGGACGCTCCGTTCCGTCTGTACGGTCTGACCATGAATCCTCTGCTGTATAACATCACTCAGGTGGTGATTCTGTCGGCCGTGTCGGGGGTCATCAGCGACCTGCTGGGCTTCAACCTGAAGGTCAGATGCTCGCTGTGGGTCGATGTCTGTGAGTCTCTTATACTGTTGGCGCTGTGTTCACAGTTTGTGTGTTTGCTTCACAGCTGTGGAAGATCAAATCATGACGGTGAATCTGCAGTGATTTCAGCTTCCCGAGGCGATGCGCGTCTCAAACACACGGTGGCGCTGTTTCCCCTCGACGGCTTCCTGACAATGAACTCTTGACCTGTTGTTCGGTCATAGAGTGCTTGTGCAATTCAGCTATTTATTTTACCCTTTCAGTGTTTTTTTTTATTCTGAAGTATTTGTTTTAGCTGTTACAATTGTTTTAAGTATTATTTTAGCTCCTGATGTGATGTTCTCATAGGAAAGATAATCCAGCGCAGTCTGATCTGCGAGTTACTGAAACCAACAGAAAAGCCCCATCATGACGCGATGATCATTGTGGAACGGATGAAACTGACACACACACACACACACACACAACTGAAACTGCCGTTTTTACACGCGTGTGAGTTTCATCAGTTGATCTGCAGTTTTTCAGCTTTGTTTTCATTCTCAGCAACACGTGTCAGTGAGTTCAGATGAACATTAATACGTCTGATCTCACACTGATTCAGCCGCTTCATGTGTCGTCTGTGACCCACACACACTCCGTCGGTCTGTAAACACGTGTGTGTGTGTGTGTGTGTGTGTGTGTCAGTTAGCAAAGCCTCAAAATGTGCACTTTAAAGCAGAAAATGTTACATGTTTCAGTCATGTTTCAGTCTGTCAGTGGTTCAGTCTTGGTGTTTTGTACGTGATGTAACGACCAAAGTGTTTTTCTTTTTCCTTTGTCTGTTTGTTTTTTTTGCTGGAGATGAATGTATTCGACTCCCTGAACTCTGCTTTGTAAAGGGGACTGACAGAGTTACTTTTTTTGTTGTTGTGATGCTGTTTTAAGTTTGATTCATATAGATTCATATTTCTGTTCATGGAGGGAAAATGTTCTGTTACAAAGAAACACTATTTAAAGAAAAAGAGAAATGGAGAAACTGAACGTCTCGTTCGCTTTTCAGAGAATCTTGTGTTTCTAGTTTCTGTATATTATTCAGACGTTTCTCTTCTCAGATGAAGGTACAGCCAGCTTCACGAGAATCTTGTGCTGGTGAAACTTATATTTCAACACGCTGTACAAAATAAATCTCTCATGAAAAGTGTTTGCAGCGCTCAAACTTCTTGAGCTGATCAGGTGCATCAACCATCTGCTAACTAACCTATGAACTAACCAGGTATGTGCTGTGATCCGGATGAACGGGTGGTGCACTAAAACTACAAATGCCAAATAATTTGTTGACTTTTTTTTTTTCTCCCCATTTTACTGAAGTAGTCCTGCTGTGCGTGATGGCTCATAAAACTGCATGTATAATGAGGAACTAGGTGTTTTAGATCAAGCATTATCAGCTGTGTTTGTCGAGGCTGGACTGACCTGAGCAGAATCTCTTCTGAAGGACCGTCTCAGTTCAAGCAGATCTTAAACACTCAATCTAAAACAAAGAGGGACCCACAACTTCACACATCACCTGAAAATGTCGTACTAAATAAGGACAAACTTATTTAATCACCAGTAAAATATCATTTGACTTAAAATCAGAATTACAATAAAAATAGTAATCTGGTTAGTAAAATCTGTGAAGGAAGAGTCATTATTCAACACATGATAATGAAAAAAAATCATGCTGCGAATAACAATTAGTTTTATTCACAGACTAATGATTTCAGCTCCAATGGTTTCTCCTAAAAAGTCTCCAATTAGTATTTTTACTGTCTTTGTAAAGACATTTGTACCTTCTTCCATGAGTCTTTCATTAAAAACAACAAAACACAAGATGAAGTATTTATGAAACAAAAATCATGTGTTCTGAATGAAGAACTAGCACACTGATGGCAAAACACTTCGAGTGAAATCTCTGCTAGTCTCTCACTAGCCTCGTGTACTTCTGCGCCAGATGTTAACAGACCAGAAAACACATAGGATGGATCTCATTACATCTGTGCATTATTAGATCTTACTGTATGTTACATTATTATTAATCAATCAGTCATTTGACAAGAAGAGGATAAATCACTGCTCTTGTCTGAATAACTTCAGCAGCTTTAATAACATACTCTGCTCTCTCGTGCTCGTTACTGCTTCTTATGTGCTTTGTTTTCATTTTGCTACTGACTTTTTTCTGTCTTTTCTAAAGCAATACTTCATGGAAAAACAAGATTATTTGATGAAATTATTTATGATGATTAATTTGCGTTGATAATGAACTTTTTAAATAGTTAAAATGATTCATGGATTTTGTCCATTAGATGTGCATCGGTGAAGAGTGAACTTTGGAGTCCTTTGTCATCTTAAAAAAACACAAGACAGTTGCTTTGCACAATTAACCCTAGGCTAACTGAGACTTATGTTGGTTTTGATTGCTTCTATTGTCCTCATTTGGACAAAAGCATCTGCTAAATGACTAAATGTAAATGTAATCCAATTCTGCACAAAACAACTTCACATAAATGTAAAAGCGCTCCGTCATGATTACTGTCCATCGGTGCAGTTACACATTTCACACTGCAACACTAGTACGGTAGAGTAGTATGTTATTCTTCTATTCTGAACACTCACGATCGAGAAACAAACTCTGCAGGTGCGTCTTCAGCGGCCTGTCGTCAGGTCAAAGGTCACGCCGCGCTCTCGCTCTCCCGGCTGAAGTCAGACGAGCTGGAACGCTGCCGGCGGAAGTCGATGAATATTCCCTCGGTGTCGGAGTCCAGAGACTCCAGGATCTGGTCCACGATGGGAGGAGACGGACCCTCGCAGACGTCTGGCTCTTCTGCGCAGGAGGTCATCTGACACACGGAGTGGCGTCTGGCCCCGGCGCCGGCGCTGCTCTCGGGGTCGTACTCGGCCACCGGCGTCAGCATGGGCATGTTGTAGCTCTTGGAGCGCACCACGGGGTTCTTAGCGGGCGAGTCGCTGGAGCGCGGCCATCGGCGCAGGAGCCGCTTCTCTGAGAACAACAAACGAAGAATGGGTCAGGAGAATGTGCTGCGACCGCTGCGTGAGCTTTACTGTGACGCTGCTCAGCCAGAACACACGAGCTCTGCGCCACCGAGCCGTCGCCGGAGAACAGGCCGCGAGTCCCCAGATACGGAGACACCACCTTCTGCACCAGACACTCCAGCTTCAGGTAATCACTGCTCACACCTTTAGACTCGTGAACCCCCTGCGACACATCACATCAACACCAGCCTCCGCTCACACCACTGCATCATTAGCAATCACACGGCGAATCCTCCATAATATCATTTACTATCGTATGCACTCGTCAAATTACTGGTATTTGCGCCATTATTTAACACCCAAAACAAGCATGTCTTAAAGCAGGCGATAATTTGCGCTGCTCTTGGTAGATTGCGCTGGTTATTATAGAAATGATCTGCTGCGTCTGTGTTCTTTAATGTGCGCATTTTCAGTAAATCACACGCAAAATTGCACGCTAACGCTAATTTGCACTGATTAATCAACACTTCAAACTTTGAAAATACGATCTCCATTTCTTTCTAATTCATTTTACAAAAACAAGAAAATAGCTCAACTGTAATATGGAAATAACTTTGACTGTATGTTCTGATCACACTACAAAAAAGATGCTCTTCCTCAGTAAATTTGTCTTGTTTTCTGGTGCAAATGTCTAAAGATTCAAAAAATCTAAATACACTGAGAAGCAAAATGACGTGAGACATACAAATATCTGCCAATAAGGCCAGAAAAATCTACTTAAACACAAAACATTGACAGATATTTGTTGTTGTTTTAAGCATAAACTCACTTAATTTTGTTCAATTTCTCAGAAAACAAGACTTCAACCATCTTCATTTTGCTTAAATGTTTCTTGATTTAATGATGTTTAGATATTTGCACTGGAAAGCAAGACATTTTTGCAGTGCATGCAACATTTAATGTTATGATTTTATGAATTTAAGACTTTCTGCTCTGATTTAAGACCTTAAAGGTGCTGTATGTAATTTTTGGACCCTTCTAAAGCCAAAAAGTAACATAATATGTTTACTAGATATTAGTAACTAGATATTAAGGAAACATGTTTTGTTTACATAGCTGTTTCTCTGAAAAATAATGCTATAGCCAGTAATTCTACTCTGAAATGTGCGCTCCGGGTTTTTGCGGGACCCATGTCAACCGCTAGCTGGCAATATTACATACTGCACCTTTAATGGCCTAAATTTGTAAAAGGGCAAATTCAGACTTTAAGAGCAGCAGAAACCCTGCAAGCAGCTGTGATTTATGATCAAATATCAGCAGCAATCACATCTGACAGATCACTGTGACAGAGATGGAAAACTAAACAATAAAACAAAACTATGATGAGCCCTTTAAAATGCAGCATGCAGAGACACACAGGAAATAAAACCACACACACACACACACACACACACCTGAAGAATCAGTAGGGTGTAGATAGATTTCACTCACAGTCTGAAGGTCAGAGATGATGCAAGCACAGAAAACCACAAATATACACATGTCTCACAAACACTCACAATACGACACGTTTGCTTGGAAATAAAATTCAGTTCACATACGTGTACACCAAAACACACACGCATTTGTCTTGTGTGACTCCGTCGTGTAAGTTTAAGATGCGTTACACACAGAAACCCACTGGAAACTCACGGGGAAGCTGACAGTTTCAGCTCTGCGTCGACTCAGGAAATCTAGAGCGTTATGAAAGTTTCTGATGTTTGTTTACACGAGCGTCTGAAGGGTTGCTGGGAAACGGCTGCATCTGTTCTGTAGCACACACACACACACTCTCACAAACACACACACACTCACTCTCACACACACTCACACACAAACACACACACACACACTCTCTCACACACACTCACACACTAGGGCTGTGCAATTAATCGCATGCGATTGTCATGCGCATCTCGTCAGTAAAGCCGGTC